GTAAAACTTTTAAAATGTACCAAGTTTCTATAAATATAACCAAGGTACCAACTATTGCTCAGTAGTCTAAGCACTAGAATTATTTGTGTACATCGAAAAGATAGGAGCAGTTATATTTTGCACAGCTATAAATATGTACATATTTTATGTCAATACTTTGTACATATTTTATATAAACATTTGTACATAATTTATGTAAATAGTTTTTACATATGTACGAACGGTGTTTGCCCTCTGCTTCCCCAGCGGCTTCCTTTCTATTTCCAATCCTGCCCCCATTCTCAATCGCCGCTTCGCCAAATCCATCGCCCAGGTTCCTCCTCACCCTTTCAATCATTGCTTGTTTTTATTTTCTTCATTTTTTCGTATAACTCTTGGGCCTTAATACTTGTCTGTTTGAGTGATTAGTGTTTGAAATTTTGATAAATTTAAATGAATGGGTGATTAGCAATTGTGATTTCGGAAATTCGATCGAAATGTTATCCGTTGACTTGAGATTTTGGTGCATTGACTTTTGATTCAAACCCAGATAATGTGATTGATTTGTTTGTGCTCTGTCCCTAACAAGTGACAGGGTTTAGAGCTGATAATTTGACATGCTGAAAGTTTTTTTTTTTTTTTTGTTTAAAAATTATCGAAATCAGATCATATTTGTTATGCGAATTGAGGAACTTGGGCATTTGTTTGAAGCTTTGACATGAGACCGAAATCATATAAGTATACTCGGTAACATAATTGCTGGCCGTTCATATAGCTGTTCTGGTTCTACAAATTCAAATGGCTAAGCTCGAAAAAGATTGTTTAATATTCTAAGGTGAAATTTTGTGGTTCTAAAACATGTTGATGTTGATATATTTAGTCATTTGTGCACTAGGTTGGTTCTTCCTTGTGCGAGTCATCTGAACGGATCAACCTGTTGAAATCGGAGTTTGTGGCCGCATCTGAGAAAAATGCCGAGTTGAAAAAGCTGCTTAGGGAATTGATATTAAGGTCCACTGATGTCAGTTTGGTCATAATGTTATAAGTGCAAATTGAACATATGTGATTTGAAGTTAGCATTTACATATATGTTGTAATTGACAGCTTTTGGTCCCGTGTTTTGAAATGCACGGATAGATTGTTTATGATGTTACTCAAAAGACTTTGTGATCAACCTATTATAGTCTTAATTGAACTAGTTTTCTTGGTTCATACTTGCTCAAGTGGGAGAATGTTAGAATATGAGCATGAGTATGAATTAAGGAAAGCTTATTTATTGATATCCCCGATAAGTTACAAATATGTACATATACTTGAGTCAAAATAAACAAACAAGAGGGAGCCTTCACAAAGGTTGCTTAGGAGAAGTCTCAGCAGTCGGTAGAGCCCCAGAAAGAGAAGGCACCGGAGGGGGATCATTCGGAGCCTCAGTACTGGACAAAACCCTAGAAGGAGGAGGCATCAGAGGTTGATCATTTGGAGCTTCATTACGCGGTACAGCCCCAGAAGATGAAGGCAATAAATGCCTTTGGAACAAACCAACAAATCTCTGATGATCAAGTAAAACCTGACCATCAGATTCCTTCATCTGGTCAAGCTTCCTCTTCATGTTTGTAGCATAGTCATGTGCGAGCCGGTGCAACTGTTTATTATCATGCTTGAGCCCTCTAATCTCCTGTTTGAGACTCATCACTTCAGCCGCCAATGATTCAACTTGGCGGGTTCGAGCAAATAGGCGTTGGGCCATATTAGATACAGAACCTGCACACTGAACACTGAGAGCCAGAGAATCCTTAACAGCCAACTCATCAGACCGTTTGGAAAGTAGTCTGTTATCTTTGGGAGTGAGAAGGTTTCTGGCCACTACCGCAGCGGTCATATCATTCTTCATCACGGAATCCCCAACGGTAAGAGGACCAGTAGGGGAGACGAAGGATGGGCGCCATATGTTGTAAGGCGGGGCTGCCTCTTCAACAAGGTTCAAGTCAAAACGACGGTCGGAGGGGCCAGACATTTTCAAAGGTGTTGAAGAGAGAAGAGGTCGGACAAATCAAGATCTTAGAAGTGCAAGAATGGAGCTTCTACTGGTGGATATTCAAGTGTGCTTTGGAACTTAATGTCAGCCCCTATAAAAATCTGCACTCGACGAAGCTTCAGAAATCGAAGAGGCGCCTGCTCAGAAATCAAAGAGGTGTTTGCTTTCTCAAAAGCTGGGCTGCTCAGAGACCACGAGGGTCGATCTCAGAAATCGAAGAGGCATTTGCTTTCTCAAAAGCTGGGCTGCTCAAAGACCACGAAGGCCGATCTCAGAAATCGAAGAGGCTTGCTTTCTCAAAAGCTGGGCTGCTAAGAGACCACGAGGGCCGATCTCAGAAATCGAAGAGGCACCTACTTTTCCAGCCTTGTCAGCACCTGTCACACGCACACTCAGCTTTGCGGAAATTATGGGCATTCTGTCGAAGATTTCTGGCGAAGTAGAAAGCACATGAATCGTACTGTTCAATCACCCACTTCCCATACGCAACAGTAACTCATGGGTACCACAGATAACTTTGCCAAAGTTCTCTGACAAAGTTGAGACACGTGAAACTTGCAGCTCCCGCTACATCGCTCTGACCAAGAAGGGTAAAAGAATTGCAAAGAAACAACACTAACAAAGTTTAGACACATAAATTTTGAAGGTCTAGCTACCATATTATTACCCACAAGGGTAAAGGAACAGTACCACTGCTGGATAATTGGAAAGTCCCTGTGTGTCAACCTTTGTGCTTCGTGGCAAGGTATACTAGCAAACATGCCCAACCTTTACTCACATTCGAGAAAACACTCCCAACAAGATTGCTTGCTCCAAAATCGAAGAGGCACCGCCCTCCGAATCTCGAGAGCCAGACTCCCAACATGATTACTTTCTCAAAAATCGAAGAGACACCGCTCTTCGAATCTCGAGAGCCAAACCCCCAACAGGATTGCTTCTCAAAAATCGAAGAAGCATCATTCTCCGAATCTCGAGAGCCAGATCCCCGACATGATTGCTTGTTCGAAAACCGAAGAGGCACCACTTTCCCAACTTCAAGAGCTGGATCTCCTTGGATAAAGCTTGTCTGTAATCTTCACACGCAACATCAGCTTTCCAGATACCACAGACCACTTTTTCAAAGTGCTCTGACAGAGTTAAAACATGTGAAGCTGGCAGCTCCCACTACCGTGCTATGACCAAGCAGGGTAAAGGAATAGCATTATTACTTGATGTTAGGGAGACTCCTATATATGTCGACCTCCATCCCTAAAGGACAGGCAGACCTGCAAAAATGCTCAACCCTTTCTCTTATCTGAGAGGGCACTCCCAACGAAGCCTTTCGAAATATTCAGCTTTCTTTCCCCCCGATAATACCTCTGTAAACAAGCTATACTAGAGCAAGAATATCTCATATCATCAGGGTTAAAAGCAAGAGTATCCCATATCATGCTTTTTCCCTGTCTTTTCCTTTGGCTTTGTTCTTACCTGCAAGATAAGGAGAAAGAGAGCAATCAGTCAGCACTTGGAATCAAGCTTCCAGCCAGGAACTGATTGCCTGGAACCCCTTATCTGATTACTTACCTGACATTACTCTCGAGTACTCATCTTCAACATCTTATGCTTCCAGGGAAGATACCGCATCTGCCTGAGGAACAGATAGGGCAAGTGAGAAGGATACAAGGAAGCATGTGGAGACAAGCGTAACAGCACACGTGCCGATACATCCACTACTCTGTCAAAAGCAAAAGTATCCCATATCAGCAGGGTCGAACGTACTCTAGATTTGATAGACTTGTTTTGACCCTCAAATTCTTCAGTTGGCCTTATACTCTGGAGGAAACCAGAAAACCCTCCAGCCCGGTTCAAGAATAAGCCTGTGGAAAGTTACTTCTTCAAAAGCAAAAGTATCCCATATCATCTCTTCTCATTTTTCTTCTCTTTATCCTTCATGCTGCCTGCAAGATAGGGAGAATGTGAACAATCAGCCGGAGCTCTGATTGCTTACCTTGTCTGTCACCTCTTTCAGCAGATCCCCTAGCCCGGCGACTTGGGGGACTCCTACTACATGGTTTGTATCGCGCTTGACCAAGCCTGAAACTACAAGTAAGCTTCAAGTGAAATTGATACATTACCTTGTGCATCTCCACCAGTTACAGATACCACCCCTGGATGGAGGAAGAGTACTTCCAGAGAAGATGCCACATCTACCTATGAGACAGATAAGGCAAGTCAAGACGATACCACACTCCGGTACTTAGAAGTTTCGTGGTTACGAGATCATTCTTCCACAATATTTCCTAATGTCATTTGTACTAAATCATTCACTTGTACTCACTAAAGGAGAGCTTGAACCTATGTACTTGTGTAAACCCTTCACAATTAATGAGAACTCCTCTATTCCGTGGACGTAGCCAATCTGGGTGAACCACGTACATCTTGTGTTTGCTTTCCTATCTCTATCCATTTATATACTTATCCACACTAATGACCGGAGCAATCTAGCGAAGATCACAAAAAGTGACCGTTTTCGCTACCTAGGATCTATCTTGCAAGAGAACGGAGAATTAGATGGAGATCTCAACCATAGAATACAAGCTGGATGGATGAAGTGTAAGAGTGCATCCGGCGTGTTGTGTGACCGTCGTAGACCACTGAAGCTCAAGGGAAAATTTTATAGGACGGCAATAAGGCCAGCGATGTTGTATGGCACAGAATGTTGGGCGGTGAAGCATCAACACGTACACAAAATGGGTGTAGCGGAGATGAGGATGCTTCGTGGGATGTATGGGCACACAATAAAGGATAAGATTGGGAATGAGGATATCCGAGGTAAAGTAGGAGTAGCCAAAATTGAAGGAAATATGAGAGAAAATCTGTTCCGGTGGTTTGGACATGTGCAAAGAAGGCCTACTGACGCTCCGGTTCGAAAATGTGACTACAGGACAAAGGTTCAGGGCCGAAGGGGTAGAGGAAGACCTAGGAAAGCTTTGGAAGAGACCCTAAGAAAAGACTTGAGTACTTGGATCTAACGGAGGACATGACACAAAACCGAGCGCAATGGCGTTCTAGGATTCATATAGCCGACCCCACATAGTGGGAAAATGCTTTGTTGTTGTTGTTGTTGTTGGTTGTAGGATTAGAGATCGAATAGGAAGTCTTGTTGAGAATGGATTTGTAAATCCATGTTGTAACTGGACTGCTATTTGAAATGAATTGGTATTCCATATGGATTTTAATAGGGGAATCCTTATAGAATTTGGCTAAGATTGTATAGTATATATATGGTGGCCTCTGCTCTCGCGATGTGGACTCAATACAAGACTAAGACCTATTATTAGTTGAGAACCTTGAACACTGAAGAGATGCACTGCAACATTGTTACAGAAATCAGACATGGCAGCCGGTTCAAGTTCATCTACAGGTACGGTTTTCTCCATACATTGGTTTAATGAACATTGATTTGTGTTTTGACAACAGTAGCTCATATAACTTGTTATTGGTTTATGTTTAATTCTAACATGTGGTATCAGAGCTAGGGATTATAAGTTTATGAGTTCTGTGATTAAAACCAATAGGTTCAAAAGCCTGAATAATATTTAAGTAAATATACCATTATTGCGGGATTGGGGAATCGAACACGGGTTTTGGCATATAGGTTTCAAATAACGACAAAACCAAAGGAAAATTTTGACCATTGTATAATTAAAAGCTGGTGACCGTTGATTTTCCTGCAAACCCATTGGTAAGGGCCTTCTTTTCCAATTTGGGGTTTTCTGGGGAAAGATAACTTTTTCGATTGCTCTCTTTCTTGTCTTCAACTCTGTGTTTGAAGAAAGGATCTGGGAATTAAGAAACAAATCCATATTAAATATTAAGTTTCCGCTGCACGATATGGGTTTTCATATTCAAGGTATGTATTCTGAAACTCGGAGAAGAAGCATGAAAAAGTAAAATTCAATTCTGTTTGAATCCTTCTATTTGATAAGTTCGATTAGAATAACATGTGTCAGATTGATTGATTCAAATCAGATAACATGCATCTTAAAGTTAAAGGCTATAATTTTCCAATATCTCGCAAAGTCATGATCTTCTGATTCTAATGATCGTTTTATTTTGATATTACATCATTATGCATGAGACATCTATTGGTTGTCTATTGTTGCATATTTCTCCACTGAATCTGCAGGTGCATTTGCTGAATTTGACGCAAAGCCAGAAGGCTGATCAGAACAGTAGCGGTGCCGAAGGCCATCGAGTGACAGTGGAAGAAAAGAAGCTTATGAATGGCAATGGATCATCACTAGTGGTGCCGAGGCAGTTCATGGATCTTGGGTTAGCTGCTAAAAATGGTGACGCTGATGAGCATTCATAGTCTTCGTCTGATGAACGAAGTCATGGCGAACGGTTTGGATCGCTTGGAGATAATGTGAAGGCTGCAGGGCACAGTGATGACCAAAGGATCGGTTTTGATCACGAAAAGAAGGATTTCGGGAGACGAATTGGGAGAGAGGAGAGCCCAGATCAGCCGTCACAGAGTTGGGGGCTTAACAAAGTTCCGAGGCTCAATTCTCCGAAAGAGGTTGGTCAAACTGAGGCTACAATGAGGAAGTTTTTGTTTGATGCTTTGGAAACAGTTTGGTTGTTTTAAGCTTATGATTAGTTAATCGTTTTAAGTCAATGTTATGTTGCTTTCCTATAAGATCGATTTATGTTTTGGTCTTTTTGAAAAGTGGGAGCATATTATGTGATTGACTGTTTAATATCAGTTTATGTTATGAGTCATATTTGCAGTCTGGATGTGTGTGAACTTAGAATCAATACTGCATTTTGGTTGTGGTTTATGATTCTCTGTTTCCATGTTTTGGAGTGTAATAGAATGATGGTCATAAAGATGGATTCTCAGGTGAGGCTCTGTGGTCACTTCTTATAAATTGGAGAAGTTCATGTCTGAAACTGATCTCATGTTCAAGTGGGAGAAAAATGTAAGAAAATGAACATGAGATTGGGTGTTTTTGACGGTGAATGGTTAAGTCCAATTAGAATAAGAAAGCCTTATGAGAAGCTGTGAACAAATCCTTATTTTTGAAGGATTCTGTTAAAAATATTTGAACTGATATGGCTTGGAAAACATAAGTTGTTTTCTATAAGGATTGTAATAGGAAATCCTTGTCAAGTTATAAGAAGGATAAATATGTGTTTTGGATTCAGTTTGATGCTTGAGAATCTTTGTGATTTGACTTGAGCAGTTGGTTGAATTCATATATTGGTAATTCTTTATATTGGAATGAATTACTAGTTGATAGTTTTACTATCTGTTGGACTTAATTGTTTCGAATTAAGTTAATGAATAGTGGGAGTGGATATTAAGGTCCACTGATGTCAGTTTGGTCATAATGTTATAAGTGCAAATTGAACATATGTGATTTGAAGTTAGCATTTACATATATGTTGTAATTGACAGCTTTTGGTCCTGTGTTTTGAAATGCACGGATAGATTGTTTATGATGTTACTCAAAAGACTTTGTGATCAACCTATTATAGTCTTAATCGAACTAGTTTTCTTGGTTCATACTTGCTCAAGTGGGAGAATGTTAGAATATGAGCATGAGTATGAATCGGTAAACTTGGTTGTAGGATTAGAGATTGAATAGGAAGTCTTGTTGAGAATGGATTTGTAAATCCATGTTGTAACTGGACTGCTATTTGGAATGAATTGGTATTCCATATGGATTTTAATAGGGGAATCCTTATAGAATTTGGCTAAGATTGTATAGTATATATATGGTGGCCTCTGCTCTCGCAATGTGGACTCAATACAAGACTAAGACCTATTATTAGTTGAGAACCTTGAACACTGAAGAGATACACTGCAACATTGTTACAGAATCAGACATGGCAGCCGGTTCAAGTTCATCTACAGGTACAGTTTTCTCCATACATTGGTTTAATGAACATTGATTTGTGTTTTGATAACAGTAGCTCATATAACTTGTTATTGGTTTATGTTTAATTCTAACACCTGGTTCTTGTGTTGGGTGATCAGAAGAAAGCTGGGCCTTTTGGTACCGTCAAAGGCTTACTAACCAACCCCAGTGTTCTTCCGGATGAATCTGTGAATCCGAGATTGGCAAAGATTTTGGAGAAAGTTGCTGTTAATAGAGAACTTATAGTTGCTCTTGCAAACTCGAATGTGAAGGAAATGTTGGAGGTATGGTTCGCTAACATCAATAGGGTGGGCATATCCAATTATCTGGTTGTTGCTTTGGATGATGAAATTGCCAGATTCTGCGAATTGAAAAATGTTCCAGTTTATAAGAGAGACCCAAACAAAGTAATTGATTCGGTTGCAAGTGTTAGATGACGTCATCATGCTCAGCGCATCACCGAAACTTGTGGAGTTTGACTTGGTTCAAACTCCTATCCTTTCAGCTGTTCCTAGTTTATAGGACTGTTTAGTTATTTGATTTTCTGCTGTAATCTGAACCTGTGGTTGTAATCCTTTTCTTGGTTTCTGATTGTATTTTTGAATTTCGAAAGCTCCTTGTATCTAGGGTTTTCAAACCCAATCTGTAATCATGAAAGTATTATGAATACATGCATCCCACAATGGATTGGGTATGCAATTGAAGTGAAACATTGAACTAGTAAGTTTAACAGCGAGGACCGGAGGGAACCATGCTGTCTCTGGGCTAAAATTTCGTGTTCTGAGGGAGTTTTTGCAGCTTGGGTACAGTGTTCTTCTGTCAGATGTCGATATTGTGTACTTGCAAGACCCCTTTAATTATCTATATCATGATTCAGATGTAGAGTCCATGACTGCTTATGGTTACAATGACGGCTTTGATGAGCCAGGAATGGGTTGGGCTCGATATGCTCATACAATGCGTATATGGGTGTATAACTCTGGTTTCTTCTACATTCGACCGACAATTCCTTCAATTGAGCTATGGGATCGTGTGGCCAATCGACTCTCAAAGGAGCAGGCTTGGGACCAGGCAGTGTTCAACCAGGAGAAGTATGGATTTCTATCTCTTTATGAATAGCAAGGTCCTCCTCAAGACCGTGAGGAAAGATGCTAAACTGAGCAAGTTGAAGCCGGTTATTGTTCACCTTAATTACCATCCTGATAAGCATCCTAGAATGTTAGCAATTATGGATTTTTATGTCAATGGGAAGCAGGATGAACTGAAACCTTTCCCTGATGGTTCAGAGTGGTAGAGATTATTCCTGCTAATCACAGGTACGCTCAGGACATTTCGATACTTTGTGTTAAAAGGAAATGTAACGTAAATGTTCGAAAAGCATACTTTGTGTTCAAAACGATATCAAAAGAATTGTAGGCTTTAAGCTAATTTTTGTATGTTTGAAATTGTTTTGGAAATTGAAATCATCTGGTATCATATTTACGCTTACTATTCTTCCTTAAGTTTCTCAATTTGCCCAGAAAGCCTCCATATATCGCATGGGATCTGGGCAATTTCGCTCTCAAGAATCTCCGCGGTTGCTTGTAGTTTCCCACATTCTTGCTGGAAAGAAATACAAAACCGACATATGATATGAAACACAACAATGATCAAGTGAAAAAGAAACTTGTATCAAATGTGACGAGTCAAAATGTTCTACATCTAAAAAGAAAGAGATACATGAGAAGCAACGCATGAGAATCGGAGAGTAACAGAGCTTATAGATAACATGTTTGCTGAAACATCATTCGGCGAATCTACTGATACCATAATTTTCCGGGAAGGTTAACACAAAATTTTAATTTTTTTTTTTTAAATGGGGGACCAGGCGGTGGCTGCACCACAACCGTCTGCCCTTAGACCATCCCCAACCCTTAGAGTAAAACTTAGCATTTTTATTCTAGAAAATTTAGGTTTTAATCCAGAAAAAACTTTTTGCTCCAATCCTTTTAGCATAAAATTTTAGCCCTAGATTATTAAAGAATAAATTTAGGCTTTTTTTTTTAAATTAACTTTAAATAAAAATATGTAGACTATCCTAAATTAATTTTATGAACATTTTAACCTAAAAATATTTAAATTCCGATAAATATTGAAAAATCACTAAATCGACACATTAAATTGTAGGAGAAAAGTGAATTTTGTGTGGATGTTTGAACAAATACATAGGTATTTATAAAGTTTTTTGGTGAATTTTGAGTTAAATAATTTTTTTTTAATTATTTTAGTTGTTGGATTAAAATTTGGGCCGTTAGATTTTTTTTTTTACCATTAGATTTGATTATATTCGATCTCAGTCGTTGGATTTAATAAATATATAAATATAAAACTAAAAAAAAAATTGAATGTAGGCCGTTAGATCATCCAACAGTCCAGTTGATTGTGGTCGTTGGATCAGAAAAGGAGCAATTAGGCTCATCAATGCCACTGACAAGTGGGCGACATGCCCACATGGGTGGGGCCATATTGGATGCTGGGCTTGGTGCGTGATGAGCGTGCGCACATCTGGGTCTAGCATCTAGGCTTCATGCACCGACTTTCACTCTCACTTGTGGGCCCCATGGTTTTCTTTGGCCTAAATTCTGACCGAAATTTGGCATATTTTGAGTTTTATCACTTAACTCCATTTTAGAACAAGGGTTGGAATGAAATTGGGTGGGTTGGGGGGAGGGGGGGGGATAGAAGGAAAATTTTAGGACTTACTCCAAAGGTTAGAGTTGGTCTTACGGGGGCTGGGAAGACTCACAGAGGCATTTCAACCTCTCATGGCCACCATCGTGTGATTCACCAGCACTAGGAATCGAACCCAGGATATGCTGTGTGAAATACGGGCTTGGAAGTCGTTCTTAACCATTAGGCCACTTATGGTGGTTAAGACTAATACAGAATTAGATCGACCACCCGTGGTGGTTAAGACTAACACAAAATTAGATGGAGGAAAGTTAAACATTTATGGTTTAAATTCCATATTAGATTTCTAACGTGAAAGGGGAAAAAATCCCAACCCCACATCAAAATCCTTGAGAAACATAAGCAAGTTCTTGCTATGAAACCAAGGCACAGTGTTTCCCTATAGTGCCAACACTGAATACTGAAATCCAAGTAGCGTTTGACACATGATATAATTTGTGTTCTAGAAATGTTCTGAAAATTTTCGAGTCGTGCATTTTCACAATTAGGTCTTGTATGCTTCATACTGAAAGTCTGGGTTTTTATCACGTGGTAACCTTCTATTTGTCCGACTTTAATTTGGTAATAAAAAAGTAGGATTTAAGTACTTAAAATCTCTCAACTTTTTAGTGTCATTCTAAATTGGTCTTAATTCTTTTAAACATTTCAAACTTGTATCCAACCTATTGAAACTGTCACATCCATAAATCCCATAAATCCCAGTTAAAAATCTGTTAAATTAACTAGGCTTACTTTGTCTCCAAAATCAATAGAAGATCATAGAAACATAGCTTCCCCCAACTAACGGTTACCACCACCCTTATCATGTCATCACCTTCAAACCCAATGCAAAACCTCCAACTCCACCCTACAACACAAGCTGCGAACATCAAGAAGAAGGTTATGGAGGTTGTTGAAATGGTATGGACTGCAATAATGCGGCCACCACCATCTTCATTGCCTATAAAGAAGAATTGAAAGCTTTACGAGGCAAGAATGGGCAAATGAGGAAATCACATAAGCAGAAACAAACTCCTTGAAACGATATTTGAATTTTTAACCCTTTTCTTTGTTAAGAGATTGCCCTTCTTCATTGTCGATTCAGTTCAATACATGTTTGATGGGGTTTCATATTATATAATCTATGTTTGAAATATAAAATTTAAGGCACCCAATATTAATGTAGAAATTGATTTTCCTTACCATCAATATACATTACACACACACACACACACACACACATACAAGTGAGTAGCTAATACTCTACGGTTACATCTTAAAGATCATAAACATAAATACAAATATGGAGTTACAACATAACGGACAATTGGCCAATATTCTGTAATTAATGTCATTAACTATTGTAACTCCCTAACAATTAATATTGTCCATGATATTCCCAGTTGGTGGATTTTGAATATAATCTATGTTTGAAAAATTAACTAGGGCTTAATGAATGTGACATTTTTAATAAGTTGGATACTTGTTTGTAAAGTTTAAAAAGGTTGAGACCAATGGAATGACACTAAAAGGTTGGGGGTTTTAGACCTCCTAGCAAACAAAGCTCTGATTAATGAATGAAACCTCTACAAATACCTGTCTGCGTGTTCTTCACATCCTAGCAGCTTCCCTATTGGCCAGTCTTCTTCTTTCCATTCTTCGTTCGTAATCTTCCGGTCGAATTATGCAAATGAAGACGATAACAGCATCCTCACTTCATATGTTCCTCAAAAGTACATTCTACGAATCATGTTTGCCGGATTCAAAAACTTGTAACTTATCGTCTGTAATCTCTCAAACATTGATGTTCTATAAGAAAAAGAAAAGCATTGACGAGTACGCTGCTAGTCTCCAATCACAAGAATCAACAATTCTAAAGTAGTAATTGTACCTGAGCATCATATATGCTTGAAACCAGATCATAGCAGGAAAAGGAAACACACAAAAGAATTGAGGAATACATGAAATCAAACTGGCAGAATAAGAATGTTTCCATTTATTCATCCACTTCACATGCATGATTTCTCATACAAGCATCAATGTTGAAGCCAGTATACCCGAGGAACCATTTTGCCATACCTTTATACCATTTTGCCTTACCTTTATACATTGAGGCTTCCGACATTCAAATGGATCTCCAGCACGTTTACTCCAAAATCAAGAAATTCCAAACACTGGAAGTCATTACGCTTACCTGCCCTTGCTCAAGCACGGGAAGTCATTACACATGAATTCAAATGACGGCGCTATTTTGATTAGATTAGACTCTCAAAACCCAAAACAATTCCTAATGAAAGCATAACTTTTCAATGCATACCATATGCATCTGGTTAAGCATTTGTGTTCGAGTTGCTGAAAAATGCTAGAAAAGAAACAAAACAAAAGGTTTGAACCATATCAGTCACACAATCTCTTCATACCAGTAACCCAAGAAACTTTTTTCCTTTCAATTTATAGGACATAAAATTAAGTAGAATACATACTCGGTTAGATTTATCACTCTCGTCTGACGAGTCCTCACCTCTGCCTGCAGCACTGTCGAAAGGGAACAATGCAAAACATGAATAGGATCAATACATGTTACAGAAGGGATTGATGATGGAGACAAATGAACAATACCTTTGAGAAGCACCATCAGAATTATTTCCAGAAATGCACATTGTCTTTTCACTTTCTGCAACTCTATCACATACGAACTCCATACCTACTGAGCCTCCCTCGTATATTACCTACAATTCTGTGTACTCATCGAGAATCAATTCTTTCTTTTGCATTCCAAATGACGCACCCTAGCCATTCAGTTTAATTGGTTATAAGATTAAATGTATTCATCCATCAATATGCAAGTAAGTTGAAGGTGCATTATGATCTGGAGAGAGAGAGAGAGAGCTCACCTGAGGTGAAGGTGCACTGCTTTCCCTAGTCCCCATTAATTTGTTTGGAAGGTATTACAATCATACTGGTTCTGAACTCCACCCTGAAAGACCAAAACAAGCAAACAAATCTAAATTAGCAAAAGCATGCATCAGTACTTCTTCATCAGAGTTAGAGCTCGATTAAACAAAAACAAGGGCAGAAATATTGGTTCTCAATTGAACACTTAGTTTTGAGCAAGCGGCTTGTAACTTAGCTGGTTACGAGTATTCCCACTTTCAACCGAGGTTATGTCCGTTATTTATTCATTGGGGATAAATTTCATAGCATTAAGTTTGCAAATTTAATTAAATAGTTAGCCAAACCTTGTATTAGCAGTTGCTGTAAGAGTTTAAGCTAATCAAAAAGGCAAATAATATGATAAAACTAAATGAAGAATTACTTGAATTAATAACTGCATACCTTGACAAGAATTTTCTCTAACACTAATTATTGATTCTCAACAAGTTTGTTTTTTAGAAAAGTGATTCTCAACAAGTTAATTAGGGAAGAAAAAAACAAAACCCAACTGTTTAATTAATAATATTACTAAAAATAATTAGAGCCAGAATCTAATTCCATGATTCCATGAAGAGAGAGAGAGTGAGAGAGAGTATCGTACACATATTTATACTCTTTCTCGTTTGGCGCCACTAACACAGTCACAATTGACGCCAAATGAGAGAAACTATACAGTGTAGGATATGGGTACAGGACCTTTCCTATTCGAACTAGGTTCAAATACGGACGGTAGGATTGTTTCTAGAATATTTCTACGGCTCAGAATTGGGTTTGTTTCCACCGTCCTAATTCTTGTTTTTTAGTTTTCTCAAATTTTTTGGGTGTTGGGTTTCCCTTTCGGCTAT